CTGTCGAGAATACCATTACCAGAATCTGGATCGCAAGAATATTGAATAAACTCTAATTACAAGAATGCTTGAAATTATACCGACGAAACACCAGATTTGCAAAAACGTGTAAACTGCACGAAATGGTCTGGATTTGCACTGATCATGCTCTAAATTTAACAAGAACTATTTGTTACACTCACTTTAGAATTACTCAGAGATTCTACAACCAAGTGTGAAACTACATTCATTTAGTTAGCAAATCGCAAAGAAGAGTGCACTTCGTATGCATTTTATATAAGATAATGTACCGAGTAAAAAGCTAGATTTTCAGTAGTTTTTCGTACTTGTCTCGAAATCTAACCGGCAATTACTACTTTAATCATACAATTATGGATGTTCAGCGGGAAGGTTGATCGATGTATATCAGCAGTGTTTGTATGCCTGTCAATGTGGATCTGTACGAACCTTTTATTTAGAAAATTAAAATCACCAGTGGGTGCTGAAGTACTCATTACAATACTGGAGATAATTCTGTATCCAGTTCCTGTAGAATGGCAGCAAAATTCCAACATTTTTTTGTTTCAAAACGGTATCGATTACGAAATCCAAAGTGTCACAAGAAGCTGCAACTTGGGAATGGATAAGCCAGCAGTGTTGTCTAGTGGATTTCATTGCTATTCGTCATTAAGAAGTGCCTGAAGTACAACTTCTTTCAGCACAGCTTGAATCAAAAATCTCAGCAAGTATCGCATAAAGTTGCAAGTGAAAAATTAGTCATTGAATATGTTAACGTATTGCTTCGGTTAGAACGTGTTTGCAATTGTTGAATGCCAGAATTGTCGACTCTATCCAGTACATGTAGAGTTTTGAAAACGAGCGGGGTATTTTTGATACACATCGTAGACCAAATCTAGTCTTTACAGCACCTCATCTCTTAGGAATTGATAAGTTTGTGATACTAGGAAGGTTAAAAGAAATTAGTAACGCACAAAAGGTGTCGTTATCGCCGTTTTCGGTACACCGAAATAAATTCTCTTAGTGTATTATTTAAATTAACTCTCTAGTGTATTTATGTGGAACAATTCTAGCTTTCAGTTTTCGCTACCCTCTACGGTCTCTACCCTTATCATTTCTTAGGAATCACATGCAATGATGGGGCATCATCATAGATTACGAAAAGAAGTAGTCAAAAACTACGCCCAAATTATGGCAAAATGGTATCAACTTAATTATTCACAGTTTATTACAAACACGATTTGGAACTGCTCCAGGCCTATTGCATCGAGTTTTATGAAGTGCACTGCTTTCTGCCATTTGCGTAAAGATAACTATGAGTTTTATTTAGTGCTGATTGATGTTATCCGTTGTAAAATCAGTTATAGGAATCGACAACTGCGTCTGCCAAATCCAATAACTCATTCAATGTCTTTTGTAAGATCGCCTTTGTGAACGTCGAAATCATTGATTGTCAAGCATCACGGTATTTTCACTGTTTGGAGGTGGCTCAGGAATTGTGATGGTTTCCTATCTCTGATTTCCAATTATGTTATTTTGATATTGTATTAGTAATACTTTTGTTAATGTTCATAAACAATCATAAAATTATGGAACATGAAAATAATTGCAAATCTAAAATATGAAATATGCTCTTTAATATGCATCGTTTATGTCGTGCAGCGCATTATCCATGGCATTTATTAGTGCTATAATTGAAATCGTATACTTTCATTTCGACTTAAATTGAATGTTGTAAATGTTATTTCAGTTTTATTGTAATATTTTTTATATAATAAGTTTTTTGATTTATTTATAGTATACTTTAGAAGTAAAAAAAAATCGCCTGTACCAAAATTAACTTATCAAAGTCTTAAAGACTGACGAAGTATTTACTGCACTTAAAGCATCCGTTTCGTTTTAGCGAACGAATGCAACCTTGCCACGTTGGTTGTCGTGACCTTCCTACCATTTCCCATCTCCATCGTACCCACAACATCCGCAGGACGACGACGAATTTAGCCATTCATTCGTACGTTCTCGTCCTCGTTGTCGTTTCTCTTGCAGATTTGACCGTCAGATAACGTCACCTCAGTCAACGAGAGAATTACCCCTGAATTTTACCGTCCCTTGCAATTCATGCTCTGCGTACTTTTTGACAGACAGCTTACACTTTTATATTTCTGTAAAAACATTTTTTTATTCATTTTGTTTCCGTTCGATTTAAATTTTTACGATGATGGTGAAACTCAAAATAAAAGGGGAAAAGATAAAAGTTATGATGACAAGTTAAATTTAGAAAATTTAAAATGTGTTTATAAAACGATATACAATATATTCGAGTTAACAAGTCGGAAAACGATTCTAAATCTTTCCGCCACGGTGCGAAACTAACGAAATGTTGTAGCGCGAAACTATTTTATAATATAGTTTACCTTAATAATTCAACTATTTTAACTGCAAAGCGGTGTAGTTTACGTTCTGCGCTAATTTATCGACTACCGATTTTATTTTTCTTGGCACGCAGTATAAATTTACGTCACACAAGTTAATGCCCCGTGGCTAATTTTATTGTGAACGCTGAAATATTCATCTAAAAAAACACAAACGCAATATGCAATAATAAAAAAGAATATTTACAATTAATAATATAGAGTATTAATAATAATAACACTAGACTCATAGAATATTTAATAACAACTAAAACTTGAACTAACACTAGACCTAGAACTAGAACCATTCGGGTTTAGCCGTACGTCTCTCAAGACGGCTAAACCCGAATGATTCTAGTTCTAGGTCTTGTGTTAGTTCTAGTGATAGTGCAAAACTAGAACTAACACTAGACCGAGAACTAGAAACATTCGGATTTAGCCGCACGTCTTTTAAGACGGCTAAACCCGAATGATTCTAGTTCTAGGTCTTGTGTTAGTTCTAGTGATAGTGTTAGTGTAAAACTGGAACTAACACTAGACCTGGAACTAGAAACATTCGGATTTAGCCGCACGTCTTTCGCGACGGCTAAACCCGAATGATTCTAGTTCTAGGTCTTGTGTTAGTTTTAGTGATAGTGCTAGTGTAAAACTAGAACTAACACTAGACCTAGAACTAGAATCATTCGGGTTTAGCCGCGCGTCTTCAGACATCTATTAAATGAGAATTCTACTTCATAACTATAAATGATCTACTACTCTACTTCAGAAATGTAACTCATTATGGATTAGGCGTCTTAAGAGACGTACGGCTAAACCCGAACGATTCTAGTTCTAGGTCTAGTGTTAGTTCTACTTTTCCTTCAATAAAAATATACAACAATCTAGCGTTAAATAACAATTAAAACTAGAACTACCGTCCTTAATTTATACATCATATAGACAACTCGGGGAATAGTTAGATTCCATTTATGAGCGCTAATATCTATATTTAAATATACTGATATATTAAATAATGTTAATAGTATGACTTAAAAATATTTTGTCCGTTATATCCGAACTCCTTTTAACGAGGTCCGTTATATCGCGTTTTTCTGTACATATATCAATGTTTAAAACGGTTTTAACTTAATCCTTTTTAAAATTATTAACCATTCAGATTCGACTTTTATTTTCTTCTTTAAATTTATTGTTATCTGTTAAAATACACATAGTGCAGTAACCTAGTTAATCCTGCACTAAAAATACAACACTCAACTCTACTTTAAGATCTTAGAGTAGTTTAGAAGGCAATTATCGAATTAATAAACCATGTCATCTTGTGAGAGCGTGTTAAATAGTTATTTTCTTAGAATAAGACGAAATTATAACTAAATTAGGTTAAGTTATGAAAAAAAATCGAAAAAATTAAAGTAGGATAAAATATTTCGGTTCAAATCGCTTATAATAATTCTTTGATGTCTAATTTTAGTTAAGTTTGCCATAATGAATGTAAAACTAAATAAGAAAAGACGTATTAAATGACTTTTCGTGTCTCAAGATTCTCAAAATTCTAATTTTGGTTTTTAAATCAAATTTAATTTAGTTGACGTTGATATTTTAATAAAAAACGATTAAGTGTTATTTTTAAAACACTTTTCAGAAATCACCAAACCAAAATTATCGACTTAATTCGAAAATATTTAGAGCGATTACACCTATTACCAAACAAATTCTCAAACGCACACGTGAAATGTTGTGATCTACAGCGATTTCGTAAATAAATATAGGAGGAGTTTAACCAATTTTAAATCAATGAAAATCTTTCATCGCGCAATTAGAATTCCAATTAATCGTGTAATCAATTATTTGTTTATCTAAAAAAGAACCTGGATTTCTTTTAAACATTTTTCAAACAAAAATCGTGCAACACTTTATCACTTTTCTTTCACGTTATCTTTCGTAATCGACAAATATGTGCGACGACAAAACGTCCTCGAGAATTAATTTTTTGAGGCCGTCCAGATAACAAAAAAAAAAGTTCAAACAAACCCGTTGAATATCATCATCATCATCCTAACAACACTTCTTTTTTATGAGGGGCAAATATTTGAGAGCAAAGCTTTTGATATTCTATTCAAAATATAGAGACGTCGTTGTCCGAATGAACGTTTTCTTTCCGTTTTGGAACGACATCAAACGAAAAAAAAAAAAAGAAAACAAAGAAATACACTAAACTAGACCAAAACTAAACGTTCTTTATAGTTACGAGAAAAACCATTGCGAAAAAGATTTTTTTCGCTAGTTTCTCGTGCGTATGCAAATTTGTGTGTGTGGAGAGTAGAACGAGCACGAAAATTACCGGCTACTTAAAGTAATCACTTTGTAAAGAGTAAGTAAACCGATAGGCGAAACACGGGAGGTCGGAATAACATGTGATTTCAACTTGTTGTCGACGGGAAATTGTTCAAAGAGAACAAGATCAAATTGAGATAAAGATTTCTATGTAAATAGAAACGTTTTAAGTACTTATTACTTATTTACCGATGTCTAAAAGCATGCAATAAGATTTTGTAATTCAAAACCATAACCGTATAAAAATAAAAAATTATATACCTGATCTTGTTTGGATTTTAGAAGTAAATTTGGGCCTACGGAATAAAATCCTCCACTACGAACGGTTCTACTTGTATATTCTTCAGACTCAACGACCTAAAAATGTATATTAGAAAAGAAATAATAAAAAAATACATCTAATTAATTGAATTGAAAATTTTACTGTTTTTAGCTCATTAGCTAATGGGATCGTTTGAGTTAATTGGAGGAATTAATTGGTTTAATTGAATGTTGAGTGTTTGGTGAATTAATTTTTAATTATAATTGGTATTTTATTAAGAAATTTAATCAAACATGATCGTATTTTTTCTTATAAAACCCTCTTTATTATAATAGCTTATCATAAAGTAGAATTTGTCATCTTTAATTTAAAATTATATCATAAAAATGAGCTTAGGGTGATTTTTCAAAGAATTTCACATTTTTATTTAAACTTTTATTTACATCACCCCATAGATCATTCTATTGACTTTTAGAAGTCGTTTCAATTTTAATTTCATTGACTTGGGCCGTCTTCAAGGTTCCCTATAGCGTGAGCTCATATGCAACATAAATCACGTCTTTGGCTCACGCGCGTTTTAAATCCATCCGGGACGAGAGATCTCGCCACTGGACATCTCCACATCATCTCTCGAGTGGTCGGTTGCAATTTTCGGGTAGTGGTAGTAGCGAGACTAGAAAGATTTATCGACTTGCGTCAGTCTAATATAAAAGCGATTATAAACTAGGCGCGCAAGCAATAATTTTCTATTGAACGATATAGGCCGGCCGTCGCTTTTGGACAACGACGACAACGCACGCTGATATAGAATATAGCTGTTAGACCAATTCGAGATCAGTTTTATCATCATCGTGACCGCGAGAGATTATTATCGTTACTAGAACGGGTTTTAAATGTGCAACAAAGACCTTTGGCGCCTCTGCAATTCTATCTCTTCAACAATAATTTATTATTACGTTCAAGACCATTAATTCAATTACATTAAATTATCTAACATGTTTGTCCTTGCACTTATAAAAGTTTAAATGTACTCCTTATAAAAGATCAGGGCAAGTTGAATAAAAAAAAAGCAGTCATTATCAACCGCACCTGATTATCTGGATAACGTAACAACCATCAATTTGCAATTACGTCTACAATTACCTGCTGTTTGAAGGCACTCGGTTTTGTTAGCGTGTGCAGTTCGTGAAGTGTTTACCATTTAGTTCTCGATCGGCCTTTTTCATTTTGCGAGGAGAGCCTCAGGCATATAGCCCCCACGTTCGTTTCAATTGCGAACATTAAAGCCCAACGTAATTGCTCCGATATAGATGTAAATGCGTATGTATCGAGCTATTGATGCGAATTTGAACTCACTTAACAGGTTCTGCCTTGACTCAAGAAGATACATCAATTAAAAAATAAATAAAATAAAATTCGTGCTAATATTACATTCATTGACGATTGCATCCAAAAATAATTGACAACATCTGCTGTTTAGTTTCATTTTGTGTTGGTAAAATAACAAAGAAGAAAACAGCACACAATGATATAGGTTGAAAAAAAATCTGCGGTTGGTCTTGATGGAATACCGTCAATGCATACCAAGTAGACGCCACCGGTACACATTTGAAAGCGAAACACAAAACGTTTTACATGCGCTTCCTCCAATAAGGAAACGGCTCCTATAAGCGCGGCATTTTTCTAACTTGTCGCTAGTAAATCCTTCTCCGTTCCGTTGTGGATCCTTTAAATCACCCGGCTTCGTCCTTCGGTCGGTCCTCATTTCTGGGGGGCGCCGCAATTCCGAACGCATGCAGCATTTGCATCTGAATACGCGAATGAATTTATTCTATTGCTTCGATTAGAATTCGCCGATAAAGTGTTCCGACGCCCGTTCTTATGGAAATTATCGTGTCGGCGGCTCTCATATTAGACATTTGCTAAACGGGTTTTGTATACACAAGTAGATAAAAATACGATCTTACAATAACACTTTATCTTTTTTTTCAATAAAATTCTGGATTCCAATCGATACATTACGATGTACTGAAACTTCATTAAATACTTTACAATTACAAAGTTAGATTCTCGTTTTCACAGTGACAGTATAAAGTTTTAATTATTATCATAAGTTGTATTTTTAAATAGAATTAAGAACTTGTAGAAAGAGTTCAGTTTAGGAGTATCTAAGTTCGTAGGATATTTAAATGCAAGAAGGTTGAAGACTTGTTTCTATGGAATACCTAGTTAGTTAGCTTCGTTTGTATATTCTAACCAAGAATTTGCGAAAGCAAGATCTGTAGCATGTGTAATATGAACAATTTGCTTCGTAGATCTGACGTAAGACCTGTAGATGCTTATCAAAAAGTTGAGTTGTCCACACCGTTTATACTAGATTTTATAACTCGAATCACGGAAAACGGTCCACACCCAGAATCGATCAGAAGTTAACCTAAGAAAATCAAAAAGAGCTAAAAAAAGGTAGCGAAGCAAAAATCTGAAAAAAAGGATAAAATCTAAAATGATGAAAGAACTCAAACAAGGAATGCCTAAATGATAATCCTGATAAACCTCCATTAGTCCCTACGAAAATTAAACTATACGGAATTAGTAAGATATAGAAGAACTATTGAAACTTGCCACAATGAAGAGATCTGTAATGATGATAAGTGTAACTTATTTCAAATCACACCAGTCTAATAGAATACTAGAAATGACAGAAAGGAACTGATGTTTTCCAAAAGACAAGTCGATCAATTTCGGCGATGAAGCAGGCTTAATTGTATACATCATAGAAACTATTGAAGAAGGAGATATCCAGGAAATAGGCAAATATTGGTAGTGATCTGGGGTGGACTTAAAAGCAAAAAGTCCAATATGAGGAAGCCAAATAACGAACACCAAGCGAAAAGAACTGCGAAAGACTATTAGAAATATTTACTATCTGAGCAACCTTGCTGGAGATATAGTAAACAACCTGCATAGAAAGTTAGATCAGGGCGAACGAAAGCGGGAGAAATGGTCTTCTTGACTATTAGGGGCGTGAGGCCAACAACCTCAGTCTGTAGAAACAAAAACAGTTACGAAAACTAAACAGCAACGAAAAAAGAACAATGATTTGAAGATCGGAAATTGGAGGAGGGTCGCTGAAGATCGGATAGATTGGAAGAGGAGAGTGGAGGAAGCCAAGGCCCACCCCGGGCTGTAGCGCTAAAAGAAGAAAAACTGTTGAACTGCCTGTTTTGTTATTATTGGAAGGGGAGAGAATGCACACTTAATCCTCATCATTCTTCTATGTTTCTCCCCACATACTTCTCGTCACTGAGGTTGCTTGAAACCGTCAAGCACGTTTTATGATCATAAAATCACAATAATTGCTTCACTGATCGACAAGTAGCTGAGTCTTGAGTCTTCTATATGGACTCTGTATGGAATATGATATTTAGCTATATGATGCAGCATTGTTCTCTGCAGCTATCTTTGTACCTTCTATGTCGATAGATATAGAAGGTGCAAAGGATGGGATACAAAATATTGGAGATACAATTATAACAAATATATTAACAAAACTTTCAATTACTTACTGCTATTGGCAGCAAATCTGCTGCAAATATTTCTAGACCCAATCTTCTAAAAATCGCCTGACGACTCTAATATTTTAATACAGTGAGATCTCATTTAGTATTTCTTACAGATTGCAGATTTCCACTAGAATACTCTGAATACTGTACACTAATGGTGGAAGGGATGTCCGGCAACTATCCGGTATCCGGCTTATCCGTTTTCTTTTTTAAATTCGGCTTTGGCCGAATATTAAAAACATATTACTTAGTACTCCACCATTCACAGAAATTAGTATCTCTTTTAGCAGTTGGACAGTGCAGATAATAATCAAGTTCAACCCCAATAAGACTTTTTTCATTAAATAAAATGAAAAAACTTTATTTATCATTAGCAACCTCATTGTAACAATCCCAATACGATATATAAAATCTCTTGTTGCAATTTCGTCTAGTTTTCTTCTTTTCGCTTGTATTATTAATTAAAGTATCCTCTTTTTAATGCAAAAAGCCGTTTTGAAAAATCACTTTCATTTCTTGAGAAAAAAATTTTTGAAATGATCGACAATTTTTTCGAATTTTGCAATTTTCGCCGATTAAGATTTAAAAATTCGTATAAAATCTAGTTCTCGGAATATGAGTATGAAAATTTTCCAATGTGTTAATAAAAGTGTCCTCTTTGCAATGAACCAACACGTTTTGAAAAATAACATTTAGTTTTTGAGAAAACAATATTTGAAGTTTTGATAAAATTTTTGATGTTGCAATTTTCATCGATAATTTTTAAAATTCGCTATAAAATTAATTTCTTAAAGGATCCTTGTGGAAATATTACCAATTATTAATTAAAGTATCCTCTTTTTAATGCAAATAGCAGTTTTGAAAAATCACTTTTAGTTTTTGAGAAATAAATTTTTGAAATAATCGACAATTTTTTCGAATTTTGCAATTTCCGCCGATTAAATTCTAAAAATTCGTATAGAATCCATTTCTTGGAATATGAGTTTGAAAATTTCCCAAAGTGTTAATAAGAGTGTCCTCTTTCCAATGAACCAACACAATTTGAAAAATAACTTTTAGTTTTTGAGAAAACAATATTTGAAGTTTGGATAAAATTTTCGATGTTGCAATTTTCATCGATAACTTTCAAAATTCGCTATAAAATTCACTTCTTGAAAGATCCTTGTAGAAATATCACCAATTATTATTATTATCCTCTTTTTAGAGTTGCTTCGTTAGTTAAATCTGGCTGAAGGGTATGTCGAATATCCGGTATACGGCTTTTCGCAAAATCACCATCCGTTCAATCACTACCGAACATTGTAGTAAATATAGACAGAAATCTAGGCCAATAAATGAATTCTCTTCAGATCAATCTAATAAAAATCATATCCAGTATTGGATTTCAACTGGGATGATATGAATACAGTTTTGGTTTCAGTATGCTGTGATTCCAGTAACAAATCTGGCCCAATACTTGAATTGGTAATCATGTAAACGGCTAATTCAGCTATTGTTCTGGGTTCAACTGGGTTCAGTATATTCTCATCGAA